GTTGCGGGGCACAGGCTCTGGACGCGCAGGCCCAGCGGCCACGGCTCACGGGCCCAGCCGCTTCGCGGCATGCGGGATCCTCCCGGACCGGGACACGAACCCGTGTCCCCTGCATCGGCAGGCGGCCTCTCAACCACTGCGCCACCAGGGAAGCCCCCGTATTTCTTTAAAAATAAAGTTTCATTTTAAACTGTCGACCACAGAGAAAGATGTACCAGGTTTATCCCGGGGCTCCAGAGTCTCCTGAGGAAGCTCCAAGCACTCCTGGGTATAAGCCCACTTGGGGCTTTGAAAAGGGAGCCATTCTTCAGCTTTATCCTTTACCAAAGCTCTGCAAATAATAATCGTTAACATTTATTGAGCATTACAATGTGTCAGGCACATGATTCCAAGCACTTTGTGTGAATAATTCATTGAATTCTTTTAGCAAAACCCATACATTAGGTAGTTATTATTCTGATTTTACGGATGAAGAAGCTCAGAGAGGTTAGGTGACTTGTCCAAGGTCACACAGCTGGTGCTGGTTGGAGTTGGACTCTACTACCTGATGTCCTCTGGGGGCGAGGGAGGGGTTAGAATGTGATACCACAGAATCCTTCTCCATTCTTCTCGGCTCCCATGGCCCCCCTTACGGGGCTGCTGCCGCTGGAAATCTTGCCTACAAGAGTGATGGCTTGCTAGGGTTGGGTTTATCCACAGCTGCCTTGGTGATAGGAGTGGAGGATGAAGGGAAAGTGAATTATAGAAGGCCACAACTGGAAAGGTCTTCAGAGACAAGCCAGTCCACTCTTCATTTTACAAATGAAGATGCTGGGGAGGACCGGAGAGGGAAGAGGTTTACTCCAGGTCACCCAGCAAGTCAGCAGGGGCACCAGGAGCAGCCCTGGGGCTTCTGCATCTGGGTGGTGTGTGTGATATCACATTTCTTGATTTTCTGCATCTTTGTCTTTTTAACCCCTTGCCCTCTAAATGGAACCTCCTCTTGTTTGCAGAGTATTTCTCCAGACTGCCTGCTGGCTTTTTAAAAAATTTTATTTATTTTTGGCTGCGTCGGGTCTTGGTTATGGCACGCAGGATCTTTCGTTGTGGCACGCAGGCTTCTCTCTAGTTGTGGCAGGGGCTCCAGAGCACAAGGGCTCAGTAGTTGGGGCACATGGGCTCTCTAGTTGTGGCGTGCAGGCTTAGTTGCTCCGCAGCATGTGGGATCTTAGTTCCCCGGCCAGGGATTGAACCCGCGTCCCTTGCACTGGAAAGCGGATTCTTAACCGCTGGACCACCAGGGAAGTCCCCCTGCTGGCTTTTGAAGGAAACAAAAAAAGCCCATTTTAACGCTTCCTAAAGAATAATGTAAGCATCCTGAGGGTGAGAACCATGTTATTTGCTTCTCTAAGAGCGTTCACTGCACCAGGACAGTGCTGGACACGCAGAAGTTCCTCAATACATGTTCACAGGGCCAGAATGAACTTTTTGTCCTAGAAGTGAAACAGAGGACCAAACTAGACCTGGCTTAGTCCTTTAGTTTCTGGGATGTATTAATTCCTTTCCTAAAGCTTTTCATCCTAAAAGAAACCTGCAGTTACGGAATAGTGGTATCCTTTCCTGTCCTTGGTCCCTCTAGCTTGGGTGCAGCCCATGGCACTGGAAAAGTGAATTTAAGATAAAAACTAAATTCTTGTTCCCTTACTGCAGTGTCTACAGCATAAAGCCAATTTACAGCAATGTGGAATTCCTCTGGTCTTTAAGATCTCACTATGCAAGTAAAGGAGGGAAAGGAGGAAGACAGATGCTTACAAATTCCTGGCGGGGGGTTGGGGGGGAGGATGACCTCATCATTTATTGGGTGTTGGAAAACAGCCCAAGGAACACAGTTCAGATTCCTTTTGGGGGAGGCACTGAAAATCCCCTGATAACCCAAATTCTCCAAATCTTTTAGGCCTTGAGAAAAGGATGGAGGACAAGATGAAGGAAGTGGTCCTAGGTGCAAGTGACGTTTCTCATTAGGGGGCTGTCCACTCTGAGATGGACTGTTCATCCCGATTCCTAGATGGAAACTCTGGACTTGGGAAGTGTGGAAGTTCCATTTAAAAGGCCCAGGCAGGGGACTGCAGTCCAGTGGTTAAGACTCCACCCCTCCACTGCAGGGGGCGAGGTTTCAGTCCCTGGTGGGGGAACTAAGATCCCACTAAGATTCTGCATGCCTAGTGGCCAAAAAAAAAAAAAAAAAGAAGAAATAAAAGGCCCAGGTAGGATTTGAGGGAATTGAATGGGTGGTTTGGGGAGAGGATAAAGGGGGTTGGAGATGATATCTTGGTATTTGTACTCAAGAGGGTACATAGGGGAAATGTACATATGGATATATATTGGGACATGTAAACAAGAGGACAAAAGTCCTGGGAGCGGCCCTTTCCCTCCACATTTTCAACAGCATCTTCCGGTTCTTCCTTTAACAACAGTCCCACAGTTCTTTTACAAAATGGGTTGCAGTCCACGGAGCACTTCCATACTTGATGGCTTCTCTCCAGTCCTACTGGCATTTTACGGACTAGGAGTTCCCCACTGTTAGCAGGGACAGAGCTGGCCTCAGAACCTCTGCCAACCCTTGGTTGCTCTGGGGAGAATTAGAAAAAGACTTTCTCCCTGGGGGAGTGGGGCACAGGATGGCCCCCTGCTTTGTGCTGGGTACAAGCCCTGTGGGGATCCTGTGGTCCAGAAAAGACCAACTTGGGGCCAGGCTGGCCTTGGGCTCAGTGTGCGATCTGAGACCCAGCCTTCCCATCTGTAAAAGGTGGGATTGTATTACGTCTTCCCCCAGCTCCTTCCCAGATACGATGCCTCATGAATCTGTGAGTCTAGGGACAACTTCTCACCCCACATCAAATGCTTCCTTCCTTCCCAGCTGCTTCTCAGCTTAGAGAGACAGCTGGCAAGGTAGAGGCTGGAGGTGAAAGGGCGATAGAATTCTGGGGAAGTCTGGGTGTGCAATGGTTTGGTCAAAAGAGCCTTGGACAAGGAGTGTGTATTTTTTCTGCTTAACTTTTTTGAGCCTCAGTTTGTACCTCTGAACAATGGGAACGGCACCACCTTATATAGAGAGCAGTGCTGTAGGGCTTAAACATTGCCCAGGTGAACTTGCCAGACACAGACTGGGTGCTCCGTAAGCACTTGCGACCCGAAGAGGGTTTGGTTGGGAAGGTTCTAAAGAGCGTGTGTTTGGGGACCCAGGCACAAGATCTGGCTTTCGGGGCGCGCGGCTCCACGGACCCCCAGCGGAGGAGGAGCCCCAGCTCTGCCGCCACTGCCGCCTCCTCGGCCCCGGACCGCCGAGGGTTAATGAGAAAGCCCCACGCCCCCTTTGACGGCGCAGAGCCCACCTCGCCGAATTTGAAAAGGCGGCCCTGAGAGGCGTGAGCGCCCCCCAGACATTTCCAGCTCGGACCTGGGCTCCGCTCGCTCACCGGCGCGCTCGCTCGGCTCCCGGCGGGGGCCGCGGGTTCGGTCCGGCCGTCGGTGCGCTCCCGACTGTCCTCCCGCCCGGGACTCCGGGTCCCCGCGGGCGGCCGCGCAAGATGAAGCTGGCTCTGCTTCTGCCCTGGGCGTGCTGCTGCCTCTGCGGGTCGGCGCTGGCCACCGGCTTCCTCTACCCCTTCCCGGCCGCAGCCCTGCAGCAGCACGGCTATCCTGAGCAGGGCTCCGGCTCTCC